GTTTTCCTTTGGCGTTCGTCACTTCCGATTCAGGAAACCTGCATTACTCAACTATCGTAGCAATGATCTCTGTGTTAAAATTATATTTGGAACGTGTTTAACCAGCTCTATCACATATGTGATAATGACTGGCACCAATATTGTCCTTTAAGACCTAAAGAAAGGCTTGCGATAGTTAGATTTAGCTCTTGAATAAAGCCCCTTTACGGAAACCAGCTATAGTAGCTGCACAGAACAATATACTATAAGACATACTTGTGGAAAACTGCTAATAATATATATATGGGCGGCGTTTCCAAGAGAATTCTTTTAACATTATCAAGCTAGGTTTCAATCTCGAATAACACACTATTTATGGATAACAATTACTGTGGTTTATTTCACCGCGACGTTTCAACAAGATTTCACAAGTCGTTTTATTTGTGTTATATGCTTGATAGCGTCTTGTGAAATCTTGTTAAAACGTCGCAGTGAAATAAACAATAGTTACTTTGATATTATATTTAATAGTTCGGCTGGATAACCTTGACTGTGATATTATATTTAACAGTTCGACTGGGTAACCTTGACTGTGATGTTATATTTAACAGTTCGACTGTGTAACTGTTACTGTGATATTATATTTAACAGTTCGACTGGATAACCGTTAATTTGATATTATATTTAGTAGTTCGACTGGGTTACCTTGACTGTGATATTATATTTAATAGTTCGGCTGGATAACCTTGACTGTGATATTATATTTAATAGTTCGGCTGGATAACCTTGACTGTAATATTATATTTAACAGTTCGACTGGGTTACCGTTACTGTGATTTTACAGTCAATAGTTCGACTAGACAGCCTTGACTGCCATATTACAGTCAACCTTTGCCTGTGTACATATTGGGGTGCACTGAAAGATTCCCTGGCAGTTGGAATTCGCTATACGAGTAGGCCGTAACGTCGCTTTCCGGTCAAAATTTCTATCATTGCACACTGTATGGCTTTTGTCCGTCTTCATTAGTCCATTCTGCGCAGATTTCAGTTCATTTCATTTAATTATTCAACTGGATATGATACTATTTGACAGTTAGTTATACCATAGTTAAACATACATTATGCAAGAGCTAAATCTGTCTATTGCAGGTCTTTCTTTAGGCCTGAAATGTTATCTAAATTATTAAGTAGACATTAATTAACTTATCCAGACCATAATCAACTCTAGATGGCATCGCTAGCCTGCGATCTTAAGTGGATTGTGAGCCGAATTACTGCATAACTTTCCTTCTCGATTAAACGATTAAATGGATAATCGAGACTATGCTGTTTATCGTACTGACTTTAGTAATGATGACCGAGGCTAGGCTGAAATTTCATTCGCCTAGTTCTCGGTTCATAGTGGATCAATTTGAATGAAATTTTCAGCAAATTGCCTTTACGTTTTCTGGTTTTTAATTATTATAGTGAGAAATGCCAACTCGTTATCGAATCTCCCATAATGTATCTTGAACATTTCATGTGGACAGCCTTGACATTAATACTATATTTAACAGTTCGACTTAATCGCGTTTATAGTAAATATATACATGTAGTCGGGCATGATCAAAGAAACGCACGAGTTAAACATCGATTATTTGAACTGTAAATAGAAGGCCATGTCTAAATATGGCGAACACAAACAGACAAACATGACGTATATGGTTGCAGATGATATTTTAAAACCAATTAGCGCTTATAGATCTGTCCAGATATACATAGACATTAAAATCTAATCTAGAAGAAAATCACTGAAAAAATCCATTTAGATAATTATCAAGTGACATGTATTTGATTGTCTCATTTGGTATAATTGAATAGCCACTCTTCCCTTTTGTTCAGATCAGATTTGGATAAAATTTCAATAATATTTGGTTCTAATGACGATCCCAGGAATTATCAGTAGGGGATGGGCGGAACTCTCACAGACAATTTTTATCCCACAAACAACAGACAATTCTAAAAATTCCCGGAGGAATGCGAAATTTGGAGCATGTTCTAGATTTAACAGCATCAAGTGGACTAGAGTGTCGCGCTTCGACCTCTAACTGCACTAAGATAATGAAAATAATAAAAAAGACAACTTGTCTGCGATATCACCTTTGGTGGAAGCGGACGTTAAACACAACAACAACAATAGCATTTTAGGAGCGATCAGAAAGAGCCTAACTTTGCTACGCCAACCATACCTAAACAAAGACATCCAATGTAACACGTAACACCGTGTCATGGACAAGAAGCTGTTGATTTTATCTCAGCCATCGTGGAATTGTTAAGTTATATCAAAATTCCAAATCCGTCCGTCGATTCGCAATTGTCCATAAAGCAGGCATGCCACGTTCGTTTTTATGTCGATCGCATAGAAACTGGCGGAACCTTAGGCTATTTTTTCAAAGTGTTCGAACCCAATAACAACCAACAGAACTAGAAGAACGTCGCCACAAGAATAACCAACAGAACTCAAGAGCTCGCCTCAAGGACAACCAGAACTACAAGAATGTTGCCACAAGAACAACAACCAGAACTACAAGAATGTCGCCACAAGAACAACTAGAACTACAAGAGCGTCACCACAAGAACTACAACCAGAACTACAAGAATGTCGCAAAAAGAACAACTAGAACTACAAGAATGTCGCCACAAGAACAACCAGAATTACAAGAGCGTCGCCACAAGAACTACAACCAAAACTACAAGAGCGTCGCCACAAGAACTACAAGAACAAAATGAGTAGCCCTTGGGATCCAAGTGTCTGGTCCGAAAATATGATTCCTTCAAAACGTCTAGCGCCTTTTCACATAGCTACGGTTAATATTTTATTCACAATAAAAATTCACTTTAGCCTCGACATTTTTGCAAGTAAATATACTAGTAGAAAACGGGGAGAATAGGAAATAAATAATATTTTGTACCGATAATAAACGCTTGAGGGAAAGACAGAGCGAGCGAGAGAGAGAGAGAGAGTTCTCAGCCTTAGCAGGAAGCCGCGGTGGCCCCAGTGAGGGTTCCTCGGTTTTCCGGTGTGGTTTCGGCTTCACACAAACAAGGTCATTTCGGTAAACATTATTTCAATACCGAGGGTGTGTTTTGTTTATCACACCCAACTCACGGGAGACAAAAACCCATCAACATATTATACAAGTCAATTTTCAATTAACGTAATTGGCGGGTTTGATTTCTTTATTCAGAGCTAAAATAAAAAACAAAAAAAAACGCATTTTGTTTGTTTATCACGTACATGCTTTGTCGTCAGTATTCAGACTGATACAATAAAAATCGTGATGTTAACAGAGAATAAATTTATACTGTATTTTTTTTATCTTTGTTAGGAGAGATAAAATGCGGTTTAACGTCAACAATCTAGGTCATTTCGGTACATGTTTATAATTTCAATACTACGCTTGTGTGTAGGGGTCTTTAGCTGTGGAAAGAAACCGGAGGACGCGGGTTGGACATGAGACCCTACTCCTTGATACGTACAAGCAAGGAATTGAAACCACACCAGACTTAGGCCTACTCTCATTGCGAATTCCAACTGCCAAGGGTTCTTTTACGTGCACGCCAATGTGTACAATGTGTATGCGTTGTCTCTTGCCAGTCCCTCCGTCCTACATCACTGGCAAGGGGATCGAACCACGCCGGAAAATCCCCGTGAACTTTCTCGGCGGCTACCTGGTGATTTCCAAGGAGTTGTAACAACGTTCGTGACAAATAACTTACTCTAAATTATTCAGTGAGTCATCAGATATTTAAGAGAATATATGATATAAAAAAATAAGTTTCTTTGTAAATATATATTAATAAAAAGCTTTAACAATATAAAGTATTTTTGCGCTATACAAATTCAGAATTTTTATTAAATGATGCATTTAATGCATAGTATATAAATGTCCCATGTAAATATAATACATTTGACAATAACTATCAGCGTTATATAGTATATTTTTTTATCTAGTTCGGATGTATTTTTGGACAGGTTAATATTTCAGTCTACAATAATAATATAAAGTATTTTTGCGCTATAAAAATTGAGAATTATTATTAAATGATGCATTTAATGCATAGTATATAAATTCCCCATGTGTAAATATAATACATTTGACAATAACTGTCAGTGATATATAGTATTCTTATCTAGTCCAGATGTATTTTTGGACAGGTTAATATTTCAGTCTACAATAAAAAAAAGAAAAAACGTGACATGGCCCTCGCATATCCCCGTTATATTTATTATCTTGGCCATTTATCATTTGTAATCCTTTTGTTATACTTTTCTAAACTTTGTCATTTTATCTGACAAAACACAAGGTGATAGTGACCTTAACTGTCGGGTCACTGATTAATCACCGTCTATCTTGACCCAATAAATGAAATTAAATGAAATGGGGTTGATGAAGACGGGCATACACCATACAGTGTGCTATGGGGGAAATTGTCCTGGACAGCGGCGCTACGACCTATACTCTTATATCGACCAATAAATGAAATTAAATTAAACGAAATGAGGTTTAGCGTTCTACTTTTGTGCACCAATCGAGTTCATAAAGATGAGCATAGGCCATGGAAGTTGGCCTCGACAACACTGGACCTCGTTTTTTTTAGTACTATCCGAACGACTAGACGGTGTTCCTTGAGTCGACAAACTCTCCACCCTGCACTATTAGACAGGGGGAATCAAGCTGGTAAATCCCTAGGAACGTTCGAACCAGAGACCCCCTGGTTAGTGACTGTTCCCCATGCTCCCCGAGCCACCGTCGCGCCTTTCTCCGAACAAAACAAACCTAATTGAATTTCGCAATATACTACTAACTGTCCATGCGAAACTGCAAAAAGAACAACAAAATTTGAACAATGAGAATCCAAACTTATTGTTAAAATCCCCGTCTCGACATGTAGCGCTGCCATACCAAAATTCTCCCATTTGTAATTCAAATAAATTTGTTAGATAAAACAATGCATATTAAAATTTCATGTGTACTCACCAATATTACGCAATACAAGTGTACTATGTGGTGACAGGTAAAATAAAATGCAGTTCCGGTTTTGAGTCGATGTGATGTTAAATCGGTTGATTTAAAGTCCAGATTCTATTTATATGCAGGTACAGTGTATAGTTTATATATAGTATACAGTAGTAAGACTTGAAGTCATGTGTTAACAGGCTGTTTCTGATCAACAAACGGCTCGACGAGCTTTTATAAACATTGGCGGTGACGTAGCAAACCACGTGATATTCATTCAGCTCTCGAGCTATAAATAATAAAGATCCTGGTGTCTCGATTATTGCGATCTCGCTAATAGTTAATGGAAAAATACGAACTGAAATTTGGCATTTTTTCGGTGAAAGCACCAAATGGCTTGGGGTTTGGTCTGATAGGATTGTCATAACTTGACAAAAACTATATTTCATGTGCCGAAGACTGAGTAGGGAAACCAACGGATTTTTTATTCGGAAGAGAGGGATGGGGTGGGACAAGTCTCTCTCTCTCTCTCTCTCTCTCTCTCTCTCTCAATAATATTGTTTCGGGTTTGACCGGGTTGCGTTTTCTGCGACCTCCGGTCTACTACTACCCGTGCAACACCATATCCTCACAGTGCTTTCGAGAATAAGATGTCATTGAGCCAAGTGGCTATAAGGCCCCTCCGCGCAAGCAAATTATTGAAATAAAATTGAACCTTACGTTAGTCCCGAAATGACCTAGTTTGTGTCGAGTGGACGTTACCCCCCCCCTCTCCTCTCTCTCTCTCTCTCTCTCTCTGAAACTATCGTTGCAGGTGAATAATTTATCAATTTATCATTGCTTGCTCAATGAATGAAATAAGTCTACCCGCCACCCCCGTCCCTTACTTCCATGGATCGAAGATAGTTATTGATGATTGGCCGTATACATCATCAAATATTCTATACAATATGGTTACTGTGGTATGATTTATTATTTATTGATTAGTGTTGATCATCACGTAACAACTTATAAAAACTCAGGTACAATCGATACAAGTTTAATGGACGAATTCAGCAAAATCGAAGGTAGGCGTGATACAAGTTGAATCATATCCCAGTCAATGGAATTTTACAATTAATGAAAGAAATATACGATTGTTATCCTGTTCTATTTCCACATTCAAACATTGTGTAGCCTATGCAGAACTTATCCTAGTCAATGCAATTTTTAAATCCACATTGGATATGTTGTGTAATATTATATTGCAAAATAAGAGTTATATCCACACCTAGGCCGGTTGGGTGACCGCTTGGTTAGCATGTGCGCGCTGTATCAGAAGGTCTGTCATTGAGTCAACTGGCGTGGTTTCGATTCCCTGGGGTTGTACGTGACAAAGAGTAGTGTCACCTGTCCAGCAGCGAAATATTGAAATAAAATTGAACCATGTGTTAGTCCCGAAATGACTTGGTTTGTGTCGAGTAGACGTTAAACCCCATTTCTCTCTCTCTCTCTATATATATATATGTATATCCACACTGGATTGACCAAGCCTTATAGCAAAGAACAACCAGGATTGTTTGTGTGAGATTGAGTAATATATTCATGGTACTCTTACGCGCACGCCAACATGTTCGCGGGACCTCAGTGTTTAGCCCAATCCGCTTGACAAGGCGCTGTCAGTGCCAAACCCTCCTTCCTGCACCACAAACAAGGGGTAACCACGCTGGAAAATCCCGTGGAAATTTTATTCCCTGTCAACACAAACTAAATTATTTCGGGACTAACATATAGTAGAATTTTATTTGAATAATTCACTTCCGCACTGTGGATGGAAACCGGTAGACTCAGAGACAAGCCTGGAAATAAGGCACCTGTCACTGACAATGTCAGGCACAGATTCAGGCTTTGTCAGGTTGTCAGGCACTGATTCGTCTTTTTTAATGATACATGTATTATTAATACATGTCTGGCACTAAGATGAAAATGTCCGGTATTATTTCATTAGTACTTGACATTTTGTCAGGTACATCTAAAACCGTTATTTCCAGGCCTGCTCAGAGAACAACAAAGTTTAAGATCAAATGCCTGCCCCTTTACCAAGTTTAAGATCGAAAGCCCGCTCATTTACCACCCAAACGCCCCCACCTTAATGTTAATATTGATCAGTCAATCAATAATATTGATTATTGATTAAGTGATAAAAGCTGATACAAGACATTATATAAATATATACAAACAGGATGGAGATTGATTATAGTTAAAGGGACAGTCCCGGATTTCATAAAACGACGTAAATAAATATGAGTTTAAATAAAGATGCATTATGAAAGAGCTAAATCGTTTTTTTTTTTATAAACAATATTTTTATTCAGAATGTCTGAGTGGGATTGGGGAACAGGCTTAGCCTATGTAAAAACCCCTCTCCATAGATAATATAAAAACAAAGAAACAAAATGGGTGAATCTGCATGTTACCGGTCTTTCTTTAGGCCTTAAATCTTATGTAATTTATTAATTAGAAATTTATTAAATTGCAAAGACTCTATCCCAAACGGATGCTCTTGATTTTCAACGGATTTAGACATGATTGATGGTTAATGATTTAATTTAAAAATGGGTAACTGAGACTTTGTTAGCTATGACAATCGAGGCTCTGCTATTCGCCAAATATTAATGAAGTAATTTGACTGAAAATTTCAGGATATTCCCTTTTCAGTATCTCGTTTTTAACTTTTATAGCGATTACTGTCAGCTCTTCATTTAAATCTTACATAACGCATCTTTATGAATAAAGTGAGCAAATTAAACCCTAAAATGTACGTTTATGTCGAATGGATATCAAATATTGAACGTCTCGTAGAGGGGGGGGGGGGGGTTACGTCCACTCGACACAAACTAGGTGATTTCGGGACTAACATATGGTTCAATTTTATTTCTATAAATCGCTTGAGCGTAGGGGTCTTTTGCAGTGGGAGGAAACCGGACGACCAGGACAAAGCCCACGAGGTTGGACAGGCGACCCTACTCCTTGTCACGTACAACCGGGGATTCGAAACCACGCCAGTTGACTCAATGACAGACCTTATGATACAGCACGCACGTGCTAACCATTCAACCCCCCCCCCCCCCCGGCGACGAAACCGGCTCTTAGACATTTTACGGGATTAAAAGGGCATTATGAAAGATTAGATAAAGAGCTGACAGTTCTCTCTATAATAGTTAAAACTAGATAATGTAAAGGGAATATGATGAAAATTTCAGTCAAATTACTCCATTCTTAACCGAGATATTAGAATTGGAATTATAGGCCTAGTCTCAATCATCATTACTTATGTCGGCACGACAATAAAACATAGTCTCGATTATCCATTTTTGGACTAAATCATCAATGAGCGTTGCGCAGCAAATCGGATTCAAATCCAGTTAAAATCCGACACATAAGATGGCATCTTCTCATGTTAATAAGCGCCTGATTAATAGTTTATATAACATTTCAGGCCTAAAGAGTGAGAGAGAGAGAGAGAGAGAGAGAGAGAGAGAGAGAGAGAGAGAGAGAGATGGGGTTTAACGTTCACTCGACACAAACTAGTTCATTTCGGGACTAACATCTGGTTTAATCTTATTTCAATAATGGACGTCGAACAGGAAATCGGATCCTAATCTAGTAAATATCGCAGGCTAGCGATGACATCGAGAGTTGATTATGGTGTGGATATGTTAATTAATGCCTAATTAATAGTTTATATAACATTTCAGGTCTAGAGAAAAACCTGCAGTAGGCAGATTTACCTCTTGTATAATGTATGTTTAAAGCGAGAACTTCAAATTTTCTAAGAAAGTCAAAACATAATTATTTCTATGTCTTTTTCTCAATAGGTTATCAAATCACTATTATACGATCATGGGCATTATTTCCCACCCTTAAACATCTATGACACAGGAAATAACAACACAATTACCTCCCCTGTTTTGCTATTGACCACATGGGGAAGCCATTTTCCAACGTTGGAATTTGAAGTTAAAAATGATATTTTTGCCAATTTCTCAGCTGGCAATAGCGAATTATAGGAATAATAGGATTATTCTTTACCAAATCAAACGGCGTATGTAGACAGGAATAACTAGACGCTAGAAATTTGCACTCGCCGAACATAACTGATTTGAAATTGGAGTAAAAACGGAAACCATTGAATGTAAATCAGTTTATATACATTCATACTACAGTATTATATGCGTTGCGACCCACTTTTGTCAATTTCTAGGTCCCAAATGTTAGCGATTTAGCTCCTTTAAATACATTTTAAAAATATAACTTGAAAATTTGCAATTGCAACTTTAACTAACGCATTGACTAAATGAGGTTTTACGCCGTACTTTTCTGCACCGTCTGGGCTAATTAAGACGGGTATACGTTATGCGTAGAATTTCGCCCGTGCAGCCGCGCTACTTCTAGTCCTATTTCAAATTACAACTGTCAAGGGTTCTTTTACGTTCACACCATCAATAGCATGAGACTTGCCAGGCACTCCGCCATGCACGACAGACATATGAAAACCATACCGGAAACTTGCGAGGAACACTTCCGGCCAACACAGAGATCGAATCCGTGACTTTTACTTAGCAGTCAAACTTCTGCAAGCAGATACATTCCCTCATATGGCTATCCAGTCTAGACACTCATGTAATGTAAAATTTGGAATATTGACAACTCCACATAGTAACTGATTTTTTTATATTTTTTCTTGGTAAAGGTATCTTATACAGGACTAGGATCAAAGTAATCATTTCATTTCGTTTTTTTTATACTTTCGATGGTCTCTACTACATGAAGATCTGAAGAGTTGTAGTGGAAGGTCGCGTCAGGAGTCATACGAGCGGTTTTTGACCCTATGACGTCAGACTTTTGATTTACTAACATTTTAATGTTGATATCGTTGACTGACGCAACAAATAACTGTTATAAATGAAAATATACGACACTAATAGATCAAAGTCGTCAGTTTATATACGTAATGTGTATTAGTTAATTAAATTGGTATTAATCTGGCAGTCTTCATTAAGTAGGTGTTTTGTCACTAAGATGTTAAAACTGTGATTATTGAATGATATACACCACTATTGTCCAGGTTAATGTATTTAATAGTAATGGGTGTTATAAATAGTCATGCTTTTACACCAGTAGTGACATCTTTTACAGCTAGTTACACACTTG